AAAGTTTAAATAAAGTAAAAATCAGCAAACAATGTGGAACCAATTAAATAAGAAACGAATGTTTAAAAAAACTTCCAAAATCACCTTAGATAAACGGCAAAAGTCAACAGGCGTTTCAAAATCCAAAATATTGCCAAACAGGCGCTTTTGCATTTCGTTTCGAAACTAAATCATCTGTGATCGTCTTGTCTGTCTCACCTCACTCTTCGTGTCAGTCAGCTTGACTCACTCTCCTCACTGAAGAAATTCAATCTGATCTGTGATGCGACTGTCGTTCGGCACGCTGCATTGAGCAGCCGCGTTCAGTTTTTAATTGTAGTGTCTGTTCTTTTACTGTACTAAAAATTTTTTATTTCTATAAAAAATCAAGACGACGGTGGGGGTCGGTGCCACGGTGGGCAAGTGACGTAACCGGTGTTGCGGCTTAACACCGGTATAACCGTCAACACCGTCTATCGCGGCAAGCCTAATATAGACCACTTTTATGGTACTCTTTCACATTTATTATATTGAAAAAAGTGGCCAAGATATTGTTCAAATTGTTTTGTTCCATGGAATAAAGTCAATTGTGTTTGGTATGACATGAGGGTGAATAAATGATGACAGAATTTTCATATTTGGGTTCTTTATTTTCCCTCTTGTCTCTCTCTCTCAGTTTCCCAGCATGGTTTCAGGCAGGACAGCACTGAGCGTATGGCATTGGCTCCCCCTCGGTCAGTTCGGCCGAAGCGCTCCGCAGGCAGGCTCAGTGGCTGTGAGCGGGTAAATGTTCCACAGACTTTTATTACACCAACTATCCAACCAGCACACTTAAACTTCTTTAAAACCATATAAACAAATCCCTTAATCGGGCTCTGCTGCAGCCTCTTTCATTTGTCTCTTGTTTTATGAGATGCAGTTTCTCTCATGTGGTCATTCAAATTGCTCCCTTGACTTCAGCTCTAAATTAACACCCCTATTGAGATTGCACTTCAAGCTTTTAATTGTTTTATACTGTAAGGTAACAAATAATATTACAGGACATAGAAACAGGCCTCTGGTGGTTTGTTCAGCCCAAAAACATTTGTTTTCCATCCACACAGTAGAAAGGAGAAATAGAGAGTGAACAGATAACATGGACATGAACTATCTATGATCTATATATCTATCTGTCTATTTTTATTTGTGCTTTTCTACTGTTCACTTAAATAGTCCTGTTGTGTGAAAAATGTATTTAAAAATTACAAAATATTTATCCTGTGTAGTATGCTAATTATAAAAAAATATATAAATTATTAAAAAAATCTAAAAATGATCAAATATTGTAAATGTTTAAATTATGAATGTTATGCTATATAAATTAGTTTCATATCCCATTGTACACTGTAGCACACTGCAGAAAGTACTGTAAATCCAGTTCAGAATTTTGATTTTGGCCCTTTTTCTGTGGTGTGTCTCAGTCTAGGTCCCTGTGCTCGTCTCCGTTGCCTAAGCCCAGTCCTCCCCTCACCTCTTCATCCTCCTCCAGCCCCAGCGAATGGGGGGTGCAGAACCGTGTTCCCAGCCCAGCCCGAGGTGACCCGAGGCACCTCTATTTCCCTAAACACCCACATTATCACAGAACTTAATCATATATTACACTGAGAAACAGCCTTAGGAGATTTGCTGTAATTTTATTATGCTAATCTAATATAGACATATGCACATTTATGGAGGGGACTGTCAGGAAATGTCCTCGTCACTATTTTGCCGTGGCTGATTTTGTCCGATAGCCCATGGGCATGTATCTAATATAGAGGAAGTCCTATTTGGTATTCAATTGCTGATTCATTTATTTATCCACTGTTCCACATGATCCCAGAACCGACAGTGGCAAACCAAGTTATGAAGTTAAATATGTCACAAGTTCATTAAGACACTTGAGTTTGCCTTGATTAGCAGTTTTATGTTCTATTGAAAATTATGTTTGAAATCTTTGTGGACATTTCTAAATGTAATGTTGAATTGTGATCCTGCAGGTTTGTCCCGAGGGCCCAGTCCCATTTCTCTGAGTACTCAGGAGTCTTGGCCTGTAGCTGCAGCCATCACGGAGTACATCAATGCCTACTTCAAAGGAGGAGAACACAACTGGTCCGTCCGAGCTTTTCACCCCATCTGGAGGACAAAGCCTTTTATCACACTGTAGCTCCAACTTAAAGTGAGTTGCTGTCCAACCTTTTGTGTGTTTGGGTTTCAGCTGTCTGGTTAAGATCACCGGTGACCTCACTATGTCCTTTCCTGCTGGCATCATCCGCATTTTCACCGCCAACCCCAACGCACCAGTATTAAGCTTCAGATTGGTGAACATCTGTCGAGTGGACCACTTCTTACCCAACCAGAAGTTACTCTACAGGTATGATGCCTTTAAACACTAAAACTGACCTGGACTGGGTTTAATTCAAGTTCTGTTGACAGCATCTTTGGTCTTTTTACTTGCAGCGACCCGTCACAGAGTGACCCGGACACCAAGGATTTCTGGTTCAACATGCCGGCCTTGACGCTCCACCTGCAGAGAGAGGCAGAGCTGAACCCACAGGCCTCCTATTACAATGTGGCTCTGCTAAAATACCAGGTCAGTCAACACAAACCTAATGAGTGCTTGAATTACAATATGTCCTGCTTTATTGATACCTAAAGGAATATTCCGTGTTCAGTACAAGTTAAGCTTAATTGTTTTAGTTGCTGTGATGACATAAACCCTAAAATGATTATAAAAATTATTATATATCGATATATATCGAAATAATATCGATGTTTTAACAGAAGAATTAATGTACGCTGCCGTTCCAAAGTTTGGGTTTAGATTTTTAAAAATAAATTAATTAAATTGATTAATAGTGACAACGACTTCTACATTGTTACAAAAAAACTTTCTGTTCATCAAAGAAATGTATCATGGTTTCCACAAAAATATTAAGCAGTACAACTGTTTTCAACATTGATAATAAATATTTCTTGAGCACTAAATAAGCATATCAGAATGATTTCTGAAGGATCATGTGACACTGAAGACTGGAGTAATGATGCGGAAAATTCAGCTTTGACATCACAAGAACATTTTAAAATATTTTAAAACTTTTTTTTTTATTGTAATATTTCACAAAATTGCTGTTTTATTGTATTTTGATCATATAAATATGGTGAGCATACATTAAGAGACTTCTTTCAAAAACATCAAAAAATCTTACCAACCCCGAAGTAAAAGAACTTGTATTAAATTATAACATTATATAAAATTATATAAACAGTGTAAGTGCTTGTATAAAATTATGTTTCACATTTCTGCTTTTAAATCCCCCCAAAATTGACTGATTATTAGTGCCTCACTGTAACCTTGATTTCAATCTGGAAAGAAAATGAGAAAGTCTACATTTTTTGTGTTAATCAACTTTATGCAACAAATTCTGCCGACTGAACTTAACTTGCATTGAACTCAGAATATTCCTTTTAAGGTTGACATAGAAATAAGAAAAAGTTATTCAACTATTTGAAATGTTAATCTGAGCTTTTTTTGAATGAACTCTGCCCTAGGCGTCCTCTCAGGATCCGGGTCGTGCGCCCCTCCTGTTGTCCGCCGAGTGTCAGCGCAGTGGAACAGTGACCCGTGTGTCTCTTGATTACCACTGCTGTCCCGCAACCGGCCCCGCCAGCCAGCTGACCTCTGTACAAGTGCTGCTGCCCCTCGATCACACGGCCACCGACCTGCAGTGCCAGCCGCCCGCATCCTGGTGAGAAGCAGTGTGTGACTGGAGGGTGTGGTGAATCACTTACATTAATAACACAGTATGGGGAGTTTCCGAGGAAAGACAATTGATGTTTAGGTGGTTGCTTTTAGAGATGGAAACAAAAGAGAAAATGAAGTGAATATATGATGATAGATTTTTAGATTCAAGTTTGTTTGTTTGTTTGTTTCTCAGGAACGCAGAGGAAAGACGACTCCTATGGAAATTGTCGAACCTCTCTCCGACAAATCACAGTAAAGGTCACTGCTCCCACCACCTGTTCATCCTCACCTTTCTTTTTTTTATCGCTTATTCATGATTCATGTTTAAGGGAAGAAAATTGTTTCCCACCCTGATGTCATTCCAAATATGAATAGCATTATTTTTTCCACAAAAGGAACATTTTCATGTCATTCTGTTAATGGTAACCAATGACTGCCAAGCTCTAAAGAGGACAAAAAAACATGCTCTATACAGCTTATACACTGTATACTAAACAGTGTTATGTATTATTATTGTGTATATACTAAAATAGTATTTATTAATATTGATATAATTAATTTAGACATTTTATCTGCTTGTCGTTTTTATTAGTTTTTGTTTTTTTTCAATATTTCTATATATTTAATTTAAACCCACTCCCAAGGCAAACAATGAATGCACATCTACAACAACATGAAGTCTAACCTGTGCCTTATTTGATTTAATTGCAGCATACAGTTGTAATTTGGTTTTAGATTGAATACTAATTTAAAAAAAAATAGGGATTCTTTAGAGTTCCACCAAAAAAGGAACTAATGTAAATAATGACAGATTTTTCATTTTAGAACTTTTCAAACAACAGTGATATAAAATGGAAGAACTAAATAATATAATAACAAATATTGATTTTCTTGAGAGAGAGAGAAAAAAGCATTGCACTATATATAGTTTAGCGTTGGTACATCTGAGTTTAGATCACTGTAATGACACAAGATGTTTTCGGTGGAAGAGAGGCTGCTCAGAGCAAGAGGCCAAGAAACAAACTTATAAATGCATATGATCTGACAGAGCATCATGGGAGTGCTGTGTACATTTTGGAAGCAACATATTAAAATATGGGCACCATTAGGATGTTCTAAGATGCTCTTTTATTTCAACATGTATTTATGTTTATTCTCGCACATATGTGGCGTGAACCCAAGAGCAGCTGTGACTCTGTGAATGTGTGTGTGTTTCTGGGTCTCAGGGTCTGGCACGTTGTGCGCCAGTTGGCAGTGCCTGGAGGTGCCCCGCGGTCCTCCCCCGAGCCTGGCTGTGCAATTTGTGGGATCGGGAGCTTCTCTTGCAGGCCTGGACGTGAAGCTGGTGGGCAGCTGCTACCGCATGTCCCTGGTGAAGAAGAGGTTTGCCACAGGTGGGAGCCAGACCTACTATTTGTCTCTCATAAGCAGCTCTTTTCAGTTCAGAATTGTTTATTCTGTTGGATATCTTGTTACCAGGTGGTTGCTAGGAAGTCCTCTAGATGGTTGCTTTCTGGTCTAATTCTGATTTTCTAGTAAATATATAGCTCTGGTCCCTCCTGCACTTTTAAGTTTGTGATTTTGTTTGTCCATGTTAGTGTTACCATTGTGCAACAAGCTAAGCTTTTCTAAAAATCTATTTTATGGCAGAACTTACATAACGTTTTTTTTTTTTTTCATAACTCAAACATAACATGTTTCAAGTCCCAGTTAATGCATGAACTTATGAAAATATTTTGAATGCAGTGTCACTTTGAATAAAAGCATCTGTCAAATGCATAAATGTGAATATTTTAGCCATTCAAGTGTAAATTGCAAAAAATATCAGCAGGAATATGATTATATTAGGTTTCTGATAGCATCTATTTTTGAAATAAGACCGTTTAGCTTGACATTCACCTAATCATATGTGTTATTTTAGTATCATTGAGATACTATTAGTTTTTATTAATATTTTAAATCTGCTTTTATTTTTATATTTTCTGGTTTCATTTTAAGGTTTTAGTAATTTTGTTATGTTTTGTGATTTTTAGTAGTTTGTGTCTAAATAGTATTTATTTTTATTTCAGTTTTAAATATTCTAGTACAAGTTAAACTAAAATAAGAAATGTTGCTACTAGCTGAAATGTTATAAGCTGAAACCAGGGCAACAGAGAGTTTCATTACAAACTAGCACAACCACACTTACAGAAGACAGATTAAAGTGCTGCTTTCAATCAACTCTCTTCAGAAGATCAGTTAAGAGGCCTGATGAAACTGAACTGAAATAAATGCACTGGAAACACCACATTATTCTAGAGAGCCTTGTACCTGTAGAAGGACCACTTGAGCAGGAACTGGCGTGCGGCGCGGGGGAAGCTAGTACTGCCCTCATAGGGTTTCAGCACTTGGTTGACAACGTTATCCAGCCAGGCGGCCCACTGATCCAGAGAGCTCTGCTCCTGGAGGGTCACCTTAAAGTCTTGCTCCAAACGCTGGACGACACTCTCGTCACACTGGCACACCCAGGACGCCTGCTCCTGTGCCAAACAAACACACGCCGAGTGAGCCGAGCAGCAACACACACCTTACACCTAACATCCATGAACCTGAGACAGGAGGTCAAAGTGGTTTCGGCATTCAGAGACGGGGTGCGATGAGAGAGACAGACCTGCACGTTAGCAAAGTCCACTCTGTTGAGGTCGCTGAGCATCTGGTTAATCTGGGACGTGTTCTGCAGGACGGCTCTCGCTGCCTGGGCCAGGTGATTCAGAGAGGTGTAGCGGCGCAGGGTCTGCGCAAACGCACTCACTACTGCAGCCTGTGCAGATGACAGCAAAACATTATGAGCATTAACACACAAAAATATCTAATCCTCACATCCTGTATGGTAAGAGTCACCAAGGTTACACCATTCACCTCTAAAGCACTTAAACATACACGTTAACCTAACAACGTATTTAATATACACTACCATTCAAAGGTTTGGACATTTTTTGGAAAGAAATTAATCATTTTTATTCTGCAAAGATGCATTAATTTGATCAAAAGTGACAGTGAAGACATTTATAGCGTAACAAGAGTTCTGTTACAAAAAAGCAGTTCTTTTGAATTTTCTATACATCAAAAAAATCCTGAAGAAAAAAAAACAGCACAGCTTCCACAAAAATATTAAGTAGCACAAGTGTTTTCAACATTGGTGCTCAAGTAACATTTCTTATTATTATGAAATCAGCATATTAGAATGATTTCTGAAGGATCATGTGACACTGAAAACTGGAGTAATGGCTGCTGAAAATTCAGCCTTGCCATTACAGGAATAAAGGTCATTTTATATTTGTATTATTTTCAATTTTAATATATTTTAACAACAGTTTTTACCGTATTGCTTAATTCACATTTGAAAAAAAAAAAAAAAAAAAGCATGTATGGAGTATAATTATTATAGAATTTTAGAAAAATATACATTTTTAATTCTTTTAAATATTTATAAGGTTTATGAAAATTTTTTATAGATTTATAGGGTTTATAGAACTCCTGCTTTCTTAGAATTGTGTCTGATTTGGAGAATGCTTTTCAGCAAATTGTCTCCTTTCAGAAACACACACATACCTTAGTGCGGACAATCTCCTGAGGGAAGTCACTCATGGCTGAGGTCAGCCACCCCTCCAGACTCTTTGCGAAGTTTCTGATAGCTTGAGTGAGGGTGCCTGCAGGATCACATTTCCCATCAGTCATGCACTCAGACATTCTGCTTACAGTCCAGCAGCAACACTGACCCAGGAACAGGTCACAGTAAGTGTGTGCATAAGTATAAATACTAACTTGGAACAGGCCGCAGTACATCAGGGATGAGGATCTCTACCAGTGCCTGATACAGGATGTGATCACAGCTCCTCATCCACTGTTTGATTGGTTCATATTTACACAGAGCGATCAGCTTCTCTCTGGGGAATCCTCTGATGTCCTCCACATCCTCTTCACTGCACAATATACAAACACATTTATTCAGACAGAAATCCAGAGAGATCTGAGTGTCAAATGTACATAAAAAGCTACACTTACTTTATTTGATTACAAATAAAAATACATAAACAGGTTCCATTTTTCCAATCAATCTTTTAAAATAATAGATTATCATTATTAAAGTATAGACATTTAAAAGACATTTATAAGACATCTATAGACATATATGTCAATAAAAGACATTTGTAATGTTACAAAAGTTTTCTATTTCAAATAAATGCTCTTCTTTTGAACTTTCTGGTCATCAAAGAATCCTAAATCAAATTGTTTCAGGAAAAAAAGTTACTTGAGTGCCAAATCAGCATAATATTAGAATGATTTCTGAAGGATAATGTGACACTGAAGGCAGGAGTAATGGCTGCTAAAAATTCAGTTTTTGCATTTCAGGGATAAATTACATTTTAAAATATATTAAAATACAAAACAGCTTTTAAAAATTGTAACAATATTTCACAATACTACGGTTTTTACTGTTGTTTTGATCTAAGAAATGTAGCTTTGGCAAGCATAAGAGAAATTTTCACCCAAAAATAAAAAATTTTTTTACCAAACTTTTGAACGATAGTGTAGCTTAGCAGATCAAAACTAAAAAAAAAATGCATATGTAACAACAGAGATATCTATGACTTTTTAAGATTTTACTTATTTATATCAAGACTTATATCCAGGCCTGAAAAATTACAATTTAAAAATTTCGAAACATTTTTAGGTTTTCCATGAGCGTTCCAGTGGATACGGCACCTGTTAGGAATGGTAGTGGCTCCGTCACTAGATGGCGCTGTTGAATACCAAAAGGTCTGCCATAGCTTCTCTATTAGATGGAACTGCAAGTTCATCACTACGTCCAGAGTAGCCTGACGGAAAGAAATCAGGTTTAAATACAAAGTTTGAACATAGCTCCAGGCTTAAAAACATTCAAACAGGAAAACGGTTCCTTAAGATACTTCAAATGCATGTCTGACATCACATACCACTATAATACCTCGCAAAACAAATAATATCGGATCAAAAACACTGATGTGTGATGTCTTTTTTATGGGCTGCAAGAAGATCTTGAGAAGCTCCCATATAAGTTATGAGAACACCCTTATATGAACTGAGATGAGTGTGATTGTCTTTTGTCTTTCCTGTTGGCATAGACAACTAGATCATCTCAAATACGGCCCACTCACGACATCAACACCCATCTCACAGTTTTAGGAAAACAGCCAGTACTCAATCAGAAGCACCCATCTTGAAGGCAATCCACATGAATAAACTCAGATTTCAACTACATCTTATATTGGGTTTTAGGGCCAAAAAAGGAAGTTTAGTCTGCGTGATGAGCATGGTATTTTAGCAAACTGTGACACACAGAAACAAAAGTAGGTGTTGGAGTTTTATTGGAGAGCAGAAGTGAGAGTGTGGTGAGTTCAGAGTGTGTTTGTCTCAGTGATTCACACTCGGCTCTCAGATTCTCCTCGATGAGGACACACACTCTTGTATCCAGTTACACAGGCCCCCCCTCCTCCTCTCGCTGGTCACATGCTATGTTTTGGCTTCCTCAGCCAGGTCACCATGGCAACCTTGTTTACCATTGCCCCGGCAACAGTTCAAACACAGCACTCCAAAACAAAAAGAGAGAAGATTCTCTTTCCCAGACAAACAAGCTTTCTTACCTTAGTCGAAAGAGGGGAAAAGCACTACAGTCCTACTTCTAGAGGACAAGTCGATGATTTTTAAAGTGTATTGCATTTGTGAACTCTGAAAAGTCTGTTTTATAAACTTGCAGCCAATTCAGGCAGCACTAAAGGCTAAATGTGACTTCCTGAAATGTATCAGCAATGTTGCTGCTCTGCTTCTACTTATACGTTTGAAGATCATAATTTAAGATATCTGAGTGATTTTGGACAAATTCAAATTGATATTTTGGGCAATTTCCTATTTTTCTTTCTTTTTCACTGCCTGACAAACACTGGAAACTTTTCAGCACTAGTGTAACAAATAAAAAGTGATAGAACATTTTGGTGTTCGCTTTATTTCTATTTTTAGTCCTATATACCATGAATAGGGCTGCAACAAATGATTATTTTTATCGATTAATCTAACGATTACTACAACGATTAATCGACTAATCGTCAGTTATTTCACCAATTAATCAGTAGGCTTTGTTCTATTATTCTGCTTTTACAATTAGTTAAAATACTGAGTTACACATATTCTAACTAAAAAATAAAGCAAGGTAAACACTTCAGCTTTGAAGTGAATGTCAAATGTCAAACAATTATATTACTATTGTACAATTACAATTATTTTTTACAATACAAATAAATATATTTGGCACACAAAATGAGATGACAGAGAGACTTTCTCATTCACCATTTAATTAACTAAGAAGAAGCAATTGATTGACTGAATGATGCATCATTCTACCTAATATCTCCTTTTGTAAGTCATATACGGAACAAAATAAAACGCCAAGACATTTTTTTTTTCGATAAATTATTTTATTCACAACATTAGCTCTCTTAAAACACCTTATAGTGTTATAGTAATCAAAACAGTCCTGAGCTAGATCAAGCTTTAATCTATGCAAACCAAACTATCACTTTAATGTAATGATTTTTTATTTATTTGCATTTATCTATTTATTTTTGTATTCACAAATAAAAAGATTCTATCATTACATTAGCTAGCTCCACAATGGACATCAGTCTGTTGTATAAAGCGCTATATAAATAAACATGACGTGACTGGAGTGCCGACTGCAGAGCTGGTGCAAACTTATCCACATCGCTATGATCAGATGCTTTCTTAACTGCTGTTTTCTCAACGCTGTCATTTTTGTTGTGTGTTTATTTCGTTATTGAGAGGAAAGAGCGGAGCACATATTTACATATTCATTTAAAATAGAATTTAGAAAAAGCTGAATTAAAGTCTTGCGCTGGTCAAACCACGTTATTACAGGCTCTTACGACTTGAACGACTATTCAACACAAATATTTGTCAACAATTTTTTATTGCCGATAATGTCAACTAATCGTTTCAGCCCTAACCATGAAATCTCATTGGTCCAAAATCCCACTGCTACCAAAAACCCACTATTAATCATCAAATATGTTCTGTTTGCCTGTGATTGTGTTGTGTTGAACAAAGTCTGTCACTGGAAACCTGGTTAACACAATATTAGTTTCAAGAAAGTTAAAATGAGATATTCAGAATGCAGAATCACTTATATTTGTGACCCTGGACCACAAAACCAGTCATAAGGGTCAATTTTTCGAAATTGAGATTTATACGTCATCTGAAAGCTGAATAAATAAGCTTGTCATTGATGTATGATTTGTTAGGATAGGACACTATTTGGCAGAGATACAACTATTTGAACATCTGGAATCTGAGGGTGCAAATGAAGTTCTTAGCAATGCATATTGCTAATCAAAAATTAAGTTTTAATATATTTACAGTAGGAAATGTACAAAATATCTTCATGGAACATGATCTTTACTTAATATCCTAATGATTATTGGCATAAAAGAAAAATACAATAATTTTGACCCATACCATGTATTTTTGGCTATTGCTACAAATACACCCAAGCGACTTAAGACTGGTTTTGTGGTCCAGGGTCACATTTGAATGATAACTTCATGAGTTCATGATTTGTGTGGCAGAAATAACACTCTTTCCTTTTATGTTTTACCAGTAGCAAATTAACTTTTTTGTCAGGAGCGAGGAGCACACAAAAACCCACAGCCGGACGGTAAAGATCCTGCTGGATAAAAGGTTAATTGGGAAGACTGAAAACTCCTAGTCTGAGGGATGAAAGAAGCCCAGGAACAAAAAGGTGTGCAGTGGACGGGGAGGGACAGAAAGAGAGATGGAGAAAGAGAGAGAAAGAAAATAAGAGCTCTAACATGGCAGAAATGACATTAAAAGTGAGAGCTATTAAATGAAGATGGGTTGAGTCCATGTGTCAAAATATTGAGAGCAGTGCTACACTCCGACTGTAATGAGACCAGCCGCATTCTGAAAGTAAAACTCAAGAACATGTCAAACTACAAACTCCGTCAGCAAAAAGTACGAGAGGGAGGTGGAATACTAAGAATGAGGCCATCAACAGCAAAGAGAGGGTTTTTTCTTTTCGCACAGTTCTTCATTACCTGTAGATAAACTGCTGCAAACACAAATGAAGTGCCGTTTATTCTTTCATTAAAACACACTGAAACTGAAAGTAAAACTTAGAGAAAGAGGGTTTTGCAATTAAAAGTGTTCTATACAAGGTTTAGTACTATGAATTGATTATAATATTTACTTCCCTTTCTGGAGTGTGATGAAGCAAAACATTTTTATTATGAGAGATCACAGGGCAGAAATCTAATCTCTCTTAAAACACCTCCTTTTCAGCACACATAAAATAAGAAGTTGCTTCCTTTCATGAATACTACATTCTTTATCTACTAACTTCTGAAGATAATATAGTCACAGAGAGAACATCATTTTTTTAATATATATAGTTTTGGGAGCCATCATCCTTTGCAAAGCATTATGCTTATTACTACTACGAAAAAAATTCTATATAAATGCAAACTACAACTAATAGTATTATTACTGATATTATATACACTATCATTTAAAACCTTTGGGGTCAGTAAGCTTTTTAATGTTTTTGAAAGAAGTGTCTTATACTCACCAATTTGTAAATATAGTAATATTCTGAAATATTTTTACAATTCAAAATAACTATTCTGTTATATAACTATTCTATTTTTCAATTTTACAATATTTAAAAATTTAATTTATTCCTGTCACAAGATCCTTCATAAATCATTCTAATATGCAGATTTAGTACTCAATATACATTGTTATTATCACCAATGTTAATAACAGTTGTGTTTAATACTGTTTGTGGAAACCGTGATACATTTTTCCAGGACTGTTTAATAACTAGAAAGTTCAAATGAATAGCATTTATTTAAAATAAAAAAATCTTTTGTAACATTATAAATGTCTTTACTGTCACTTTTGATCAATTTAATGCATCCTTGGTGAAGTATTAATTTCTTTTAAAAAATCCCAAAGACCCCAAACTTTTGAACAGTAGTGTAATAAAATTTTGTAATTAAATTATAATTTTAAAAATATTATATAAATAAATTATGTGTCTTGTGTATTAAACACGGACAGTCCTACTGGGCTTCTTGCAAACTTTCAGACTGTTCTCAAGTTTCGCTTTGGGTCTAAGAAAAGCAAGTTATAAATAAAATGCGTTATTATTATTATTATTATTCTCCTAGCTGGAAGAACAAGGCTCACATTCATGGTGGAAAATATGTGACACATTGTTGCAAGAAAACTGGCTTGGATAGATTAGTGTAACTATTTGCTGTGGCATATTTAATTAAGTTTTGCACTTCTTTAACATTCTTATTATTCAATAATCATACAGTACATTCTTGCGTACTTGATATGATCTGTACTCACACTCATGCTGATTCATTCATTTATACATTCACATGTAATTTTTTTAACTTTCATACTAATTTCAAATTATTAAATTGTTTGAAGTTGAATAAGCATACGATAACAACGAAATTAAATTTCTTCTGGTATACAGTAAGTGAGAGTTTATCTCTGCCAGGGTGTCTGTAGTTGGTGTCAGGAGTTGCTTCCTTTACATGAAAACTGTGAAGCTCTTCCTTCCATTGGGAGCTTTGCATCATGACACTTTTTGCCTTGACTACAAAAAACAAATTCCACAACAGTGTGCAGTACCTCACAGTGAATCCTGTAGTTGCTCTGTAGTTTTTTCACATCGTTCATGTTGATTGGCTCGGGCAGAGGACAGGAGCCCAGATCAGGAGAAGGGAAGGGGGGCAGGACGTGAGACACATCTGCCAAAAACACACACAAAGCAGGCACACTTAGAGTTGGTTGTGCATGTATACTGATGATTTTGTTGTGATTGTATGTAAATTAAATATCTAATCTATTAAATCTTATGGAGAAGGTTTACCAATGTACTGCTGGTGATGCTGGCTCTGTGCCGCCACGCTCTGCTCAGGGGTGCTGGACGAGTGCTGGGAGCTGCTGTTCAGACTGTCCCCCATCCCATCCATCTTGTGAAAGGGCTTAAACCTGGATACAGGAAATAGCAACAGGAGGAATAAATGTAGAATTCACTACTGGGGATTACAGAGGATATGACTAAGAGAGAGAGAGAGAAGAGCATTTTCCGTCAGGGTGCAGAGCCAGTGTCCAAGATGAAGCTGTTCTGTGCATTTCCAAATGCAATTAAAAAGTGGTTTTGACACTTAAATCTGATAGTTTGGAATCTGGAATCACTAGCATCAGAAGCCCAGAGGGCAGCATGATGTTATGTTTGCAAAAGAAGAAGAACAACAACTCAGTATCTCTCTCTCTCTCATATATATATATATATATATATATTTCTCAGCTCTTTTCTGTGTCTGTTATTTTAGGATCGTAGAGTATAATAGTATCATGAGATACTATTATAGTTCTTATTAATATTTTGAATTAATTTTTATTTTATAGTTTCTGTTTAAGGTTTTAGTAATTTTGCTGTTTTTGTCTATCTATCTATCTATCTATCTATCTATCTATCTATCTATCTATCTATCTATCACTTTTAGTTTTGGTTATTTTAGTAGATCATATTTAAATGAAAATTAGAAATGCTGACTTGGCAACTAACTAAAAAATAAGTCTGAATTTTATTTTTATTTTATTTCACATAAAATGTATTTTAGTTCAAGTGACAAAGGGTAATTGTTTTATTTTAGTTTTTATTATTTTAGTTTGAATTAACTATAATAAGCCTATTCTGAATGGAGAGAAAACTGGGGTGTAAATGTCCATCTATTTAGCCAGTGTGGGAATCAATTACATACTGATTTAATAAATCAAGAAAAAAACAAAACAAAAACAAACTTCAAACCTCTAGCAGGATCTGAACAATTGAGTGACACACACACACACACACAGATCCTGATGGCAAAGAAGTGGCTGGGATATGAGATAAAGACTGCATGCAAGTGAGAAGGAGAGAGGGGATGCTTATTTCACCTCTGTTTCTGATGGAAAGGCTGTTGTCTCATTGCCATGTACTGCATGTCCTCCTGCAAGCGGTTGAGAGGTGAATCAGGCTTCAGACGAATACCGTAATAATGGTATTTTGAGTTCCCCCTGAGACACACACATACACACACACAAAATGAGCCATCACATTTTTTTATTCCAGCAACAACACACCACAGTTTGAGACTGAACGTCATTTATTTCAGTCCATCATCTCATGATCATTCTTTAAGCATTAGACAAGTGTCTGCAGTAAATTCCCTCAATGTTCTTCTCTGTGCAGCTGTGGTTTTGAGACTGGATTGTGCTTTTCTTTTGAGAGTGGATCAGCTGTTAATGTAGTTTATAGATTAGCTATATTTTTGGGGTGCAGTCTGACCTGGTGCCAAGTCGGCGTGTGCGAAGGCCCATGAAGACAGATCGGATGAGTTTGCCAAAAGAGGCAGCATTAACCGGATCCAGTTTTTGCTCCTGACAGTGTCTCAGATAGTGGTTATACAGAGAGCTCCGTGGCAGACTCACACCCTCAGCCATCTCATAATTATCCAGCAGCCACTGCAACTGTACACACACAGCCAATGAATAAAACAGTATCTAATCAAGCAAGCTTAAATTCTTCAGTTTTCCCCCACAAAATAATACCATAAACGAAACCACACAACTGAACACTTCTTCATACATACTGTATATTCATATTACCATATTAATTTGACAACACCCTCATATGATCAAGATTTTTAGTGAATAAATACAATTTTATGTTCCTCACACAAAGCTATTGTATTGTATATTATTCAAAATTTCTCATTTTCTTTTCTACAGAAGAAAATAAGTCACACAAGTTTGGAAGTGTTGTTTTAGCATTATTTACATAAGACAGTATTTATTCATATTTTGAATTGGCTTTCATTTTTATATTTTCAGTTTTCTTTTTATTCAAGTTTAAGTTTTTATTTAAGTGAAATTGTGTTTCTTTTTATTTTAATAGTGTTTGTTTTGCTCTATTTTCCCCTATTTAGCTTTCTTTTATTTTTATTTCAGTTTTATAGTAATTTTACTAATAGTACTAGTAATTTTAGCAACATTTCTAATGTTCATTTAGAATATTCATAGAATATAAATAGAATGCTCTTAATATTTAGGCTACGTTTACACTAGTGCGATTTCATTGTAAAACACACAACTTTTGCTACGGTTACACCTGTCGTTTACATTACCCCGGCGTTTTCGACCCTCGAAAACGGAGGCTTTCGAAAACGCTGCAGACCCTGTTTTAGTTTGAAAACTCCGGGGTTGCGTTTCAGTGTAAACGGACCAAAACGGAGACTTTTGAAAATGATGGCATGGCTGCCCACATTCGGCTCTGCATATCCTTGATGACCGTGTAAACAATGACAGCATGCACATTGTTGTACCTGCATGAATGGTCATGTGACCTGCGTTTTAGGTTGTGTAGTGTGGACGGAGAACATTTCTGAAGCGCAGTGAAAATGCAAGTGTAGACAAGGATCGTTGTCATTTTAAAATGCCGTTTTAAAAACAAAAACACACTAGTGTAAACAGGGCCTTAGAATATTTATATTTTATTTTAGCTTTATATCAATTAACAAAAACAATTTCGTTTTAGTTAACACAGGGTATATACAGGAATCATGGAGTAAAATGTTATACCTTTTAAGACCTTTTTTAAGACTCTTTCCATACATTTTAAGACCTCATCGCCACTCCAAGTTTTAACCGGTTACATCGGCGACACTTTAACTTACATTTACTATATATTGATTGTAAGATAGCACAACTAAACAGTCTTACTTTGTGATAACTCCTTATCAATACAACATAATTCAGAAGGGGGGAACGAAGCACAAGATAATTAATTGATTGACTAACCAATGCAACCCAAGAAACAAGAATTAGACCAATAAACAAAACAACTGACAAAACTTATTGAGGAGGGAAAATAAAGCTCTCCGTGCTAACGGGGCAATGAGTTCACACAGTATATTCAAAAGATGTATTTGTAACATCAACTCTTATGTGGTCTGCAAACCATAGCTGTTTTGTGGAACACTTCTCATGACAAACACCTGACTGGTCAGACAGTATACCTGTGATTACAGAGTGCCTGATTTGATACAGACTTGACAAAGAGTGTCAGTACTGCACCTGATCAAGTCTGAATGGTCATGGAAGGTAAAATAATGATCACAACTATTACATCATTTTAATTGTGCATCTCAAGCCAGTAAAAAAACAGCCCAAAGTAGCGCAATGACCATGTCCCGAACATCAAAATATGTAATTTCCATCCCTAAAATACATATTTTACAGTCAATGTTATGCACAATGATCATAAACACAGCTCAAAGGCTTCCTACTAGTGGCCCTCCTTCACAAAACATTTAGCACAGTTTTATTACAGGTAGAATGTTTGAGTAAAAGCATTTCAGTTAAATGTAATTTATGTCAAATTTAAAACCTTTAACCCACTGGGGAATATCAATCCATGGCAACAGTTTAAAATCATTGACAAATATCTTATATCTTAAGGTGTGCTCCCTTTACACAGTGTGCGTGCGATCGCGAAATCGAAAGTGCTCATTCAAAAGCCATTTAAATATCCCACATATTGATAGCGGCTCCCTTATGCGCGAAAAATTATATACAATATTAGAATGTTTGCGGGAGCGGACACAAAAATCGCGGGAGCAGATGGGAGCAGGCGGTAATGGTCAGAAATTCAGAGAGAGTGGGATCAACAAGCCCCGCACTATCACGCAGCGGCGAAGTCAGTCAGTGAGCGCTGTAACAGATTACGTCAAATCTTGCAGGATTTCATAAATAAACTACACAGAACCCCACTATTCGGACAAAGATACATAATGAAAAGATGATACAAAATTTTATACTTTGGAAAATGGCATTTAAGACTTTTTAATACTTTTTAAGGGCCTTAATTTTCTCTAAATTGATTGATCAACTTTTAATACTTTTTAAGACCCCGCGGACACCCTGTAACAATAACAACACTGGAACAACATGAGGCTGGGTAATTGACAAAACTGAATAATTTCTTTTAAAAAAGTTAGCTGAATGGATTATAAAATTTGGTCAAATGTTTTGTAAACATGCAAGGGGTGGAGTGTGTGCAGAATTCTTGCACAGCACACTGATAGCAGCGTTATGTCAGTCTCATCTCAGGCCTCACGCAAGAAAAGGATATTTGTATAAGTGTAAATATTCATAGCCTTAAGTTAAGGTGTCGGTCTACAACAAGATAAATAAATGTGCTAGTCTCAAGAGCTTAGAGGCACTTCAGACTCCAACTATTTAACTATTCAACTGCTTCAACTATTTCTACTTGGATATGACTCCCCTGGCAATTTAAGATTAAAAATATAAATATAAAATCCGTAAATATCAATTTGAGTCTTTGATATTCAGGGGTACATCTCACATATAAACATGGTGATCCCTGGGACGTTGACTGAATCAGTGGTGTCATCTAAATGCAGGGGGACTGAGGAGACCCAAAATACACAGAGCGAGGGGCTGTTCTGGAAAAAGCATGCTCACAGCAGCAGTGAAAAGCAAAGCGAAGAGGCAGGCAGGATGAACGAAGCCTTTTTTTTTTTTAAGGATTTGTTTCAGTTTCAATAAAGTTTTTTCTCAG